CTTGGAGCTGACACCCTGAATTTGGATTGCTAGCCTCCTAAACTGTGAGAGAATAAATTTGTTTGTTAAAGCCAAAAAAAAAAAAAAAAAAAAGTCCCTGATCACAGTCTATATGGACAAGTAAAAATTCAGGTCACTAGAGAAGTAGCATTTGCAAAGACAAAAATTTAGAGTGTTGGAAAGCATGAGGCATCAGACAAGGGGACAGAAAAACACAGAACTAAGAGGATAATAACCTAAAACCTCAGGAAGAGAGCCCTTGAATTCACATTCTTACAACATTTGGACGATTCTAATGCCCACTAAAGTTTGAGAACCATTGTTCCACAGGTACAGATAGGAGAAGGTAAGGCCTAGGTTATTACTGTGGAGGGTGTGAAAGAAAACTGCTCTCAACAATTGGAGAATAAACATGCTTTTCAAGCACACTTGGAACATTTACAAAAATTGACCACATGCCAGGCCATAAACTTATCCTCACAAATGTCTAAGAATTGGTACCATATAAATCATTTTCTCTCACCAAAATACAATTAAGTTAGAAATAAGTTACACAAAGGTAATTTAAAAAAAGAAAAAAAAACCGTCTGTTGCCATAGAGTCAATTCCAACTCATAGCGACCCTATAGGACAGAGAAGAACTGCTCCATAGGGTTTCCAAGGAGCACCTGGTAGATTCGAACTGCTGATCTTTTGGTTAGCAGCCATAGCTCTTAACCACTACACCACCAGGGTTTCAGGAAAATTGAAAAAACACATGTTTAGAAATTTAAAAAAATGAACTTCTCAACAACTTGTGGGTCAAAGAAGAAATCATACTGGAAATAAGAAAAATACTTACAAAGTAAATGTTAATGAGAATACTACGTATCAAAACTTGTGGGATGCAGCTGATGTGCTACTTAGAAGGAAATTCATAGCTATAAGTGCTTAAATTAGGAAACAACTACAGCTCAAAATAATGAGCTAAGAAGTTAGAAAAACAATACAAGAAACTAAAAGAAAATAGAAGGAAGGAAATAATAAAGAAAAGAGCAGAAATTAAATAGAACATTCAGTAAACATTCAGTAGAGAACATCAACAAAGGCAAAAGTTAGTTATAAAATAGACTAACTTCTGACAAGAGCAGCCAAGAACAAAAAGGAGAATGCACAAATAATATTAGAAGTGATAAAGGACCATAGCTAAATGTGTTACAGAGATTAAACAAATAAGTATAATAAAAACTTGATGCCAATAAATGTGAACACTTAGATAAAATGGATAGATCCCTATAAAAATACAATTCACCAAAAATGACTGAAGAAGAAACAGAGAACCTGAAAATTCAATAACCATTGAAGACTTTGAATCTACTTAAACTTTCCACAAAGCAGGTACCAGGTCCAGATGGTTTCACCAGTGAATTCTTCTAGTCAATAGAAAAATGGATAACTTAATTGTGGTAGAGTCGCACAATGGAGTGCTACACAGCCGTGAAAGTGAAGCACAGTTACATGCATCAACATAATTCTTGGAACAATGCTAAGTAAAGGAAGCAGTCACTGAGTATGTCAGGCTGGGTTCTCTAGAGGAGCAAAACCAGTGAAGCGTATAGACAGACAGATTGATAGAGAGAGAGAGAGAATTTATTTCAAGGAAATGGCTCACACAGTTGTGGAGGCTGGCAAGTCCCAAATCCATGGGTCAAACGTCAGGCTGGAGGCTTTTCCTGACTCAGGTGGTTGCAGGGGATGATGAACCCAAAATTGGCAGAACCTATGGCAGGCTGCTGGCTCATGGGGCTGTGGGAGTTCCCAAATTCCAAAATATGCAGGTCAGATGGCAGGTGGCTGGCTCATGTCCCAAGAACCAGAGGTCAGAGGATGACGAGTCAGGTGCATGATCCAGAGGGTGAGCTTTGCCAGAACATCTATATGTATTGGATGCAGGCCATACCCGCAGGAAAACTCTCCTTTCAATTAACTGATGGCTCACATCAGATTACAAAATGGAGGATGATTACATAATACCTGACAAACCACTGAGAATCATGGCCTAGCCAAGTTGGCACATAATATTAACCATCACACCAAAGAATTCAGACACTATGATTCCATTTGTATAACATTAAAAAATAGGCAAAATAATAAACACAGAAGAATACATAAATTGATGTTAAAATGAAGAAAAGAAACAGAATAATTACCATAAAATTTAGGGCAGTGGTTAGAATAAAATTTAGGATTGATGCAATCAGGGATGGGCATCTAGTAACTTCTAAAGTACTGGAAATAGTCTTTCTTAAGTATTGTATACACAGGTGTTCTTTTTATTGTTATTCTTTAATTCCACTCCTAGGTATATACCCTGGAGAAATTCTTGCACTTGCAGAAGACATTCTGTATACTCTTTTGTGTATATAATATATTTTTCAATTTAAAAAGCATTTTAAGTACATTTAAAATAAATGGCAAATTTTGTTATATATATTTTACCACAATAAAATTAACAAAAAAAAAATTAAGACAGACAAAAACAAAAACAAGAAGGAGAAAAGAAAATATAAGAGGAGAAGAGGTATATGGAGATAAAATTATGAGTTCAGTTTTGGATATGTTGAGTTGCATTCTATGCAGATGACAAAAAGAATGAGGTAGATATGTGTGTAATGACCTGGGAAGAATATCCAATGTATATTAAGTGACAAGCATGTTGCAGAACTCTACAGTTTAATCCAATTTTAATAAAAATATTAATATGTCCACTGAAATAAATCTGAACAATAATATATACTAAAATGCAAACATTAGTTACCTCTGGGGTGGTTTCCATTTCAAAATTATATACTTCTGTAGTGTTTCAATATTTTGTTGTAATTGTATTTACTTTTGTAATCAGAACAAAATAATAAAAATTAATTTTGCATGTATAAAAACTGTTTCAAACAGAAAAATACTTATTCTGGAAAGAGGGACTTTTTCTCCCTTTCGCAAGCACAAAAGAGTTCCATGACAGCTTCTTGATTCTGTAAAAGAGAGTTTGTGAGGACAGAAAGTACCAAATGGGAAGGGTTTCTGGGCTCAGATCCTTTTAATGGGTAGACAGTGAATAGGGCATGGTCAGTCCCCCTGGGTCACCAACCTTTCCTACCCACACAGCAAATCTGCTTGTTCCTACCATTTGCCACCTCCCCTCAGGAGGGTGACCAAGGTCTTATCTAGCTGCCCCCCCAAGACCTGCCCCATTATTCTAGGTCCCCAGCAGACTAAGCATCCAGCAGTTAGGTCAAAGGCCAACACTGTCCTGACATCCTGGTACCTGTGAACTGCGAGAAGACATGGTGAAGCCAGAGCAAGTGCTCAGGCACAGTAGGGCAGAGAACAGACAGAAAGAGATAATAGGGGATAAGTGAAGCCCAGAAAATCCTGCTCTGGGACAGCTAATGAATCCTCCTTTCTCCTGTTACCCCCAAAACTTTCCATTGGAAGTGGTGGGGGCCTTTGGGCTCCCTCTGGAGGGGCTTGGAGAAGAGGGTGCTTTGTGGTCTGAGAGAGTTCAGTTTATCAGGGGCAAACAGTTCCAGGCTTTTGTACCTGTTGTGCCCTCTGCCAAAAGGAGCCCTGGTGGTATAGTGGTTAAGCTCTCGGCTGCGAACTGAAAGGTTGATGGTTCAAATCCACCAACCACTCTGTGGGAGAAAGATTTGACAATCTGCTTCCATAAAGATTTACAGCCTTGGAAACCCTATGGAGCAGTTCCACTCTGTCCTATAGGGTCCTATGAGTTGTAATCAACTTGATGGTAATAGGTTTTGTTTTTTTGGGTTTTTTGTGTGTAGGTGTGTGCCCTCTGCCTAAAACATTCTTCCTCCATCTTGTCCTGGTTAGCTTCTAGTCATTCCTCAGATTTCAAATTATGGACCACTTCCTCTTGGAAGGCTTCCTGAACTCCCACAATTCCACCCTCACTATCCTCCAAGAAGGGGTTACATGCCTTTCAGCTCCCACAGCCTGTGCTTCTCTCATCTAGCACTATCCCACTCTAACAGTTGCCTGTTTACTTGTCTGACTCTCTCACTAGGATTCAAGCTTCCTGAGGTCAGGGACCATGATTGTCTTACTCACCAGTTATCTCTAGTACCTACATACTCACCTGACTAAACCAAACCTAACCCATTGCTGTCCAGTCGATTCCAGGTCATGGTGACCCCATGTGTTACAGAACAGAACTGTGCTCCATAGTTTCTTTACAAAAGCAGATCATCAGGCCTTTCTTCTACAGTGCCACTGAGTGAGTTCATACCACTAACCTTTCCACTTGCAGCCGAGTGCAAACCGCTTGTGCCACCCATGCACCTTCTCACATGACCAAACCAAACCCATTGCCGTTGAGTCAATTCTAACTCACAGCGACCCTATAGGACAGAGTAGAACTGCCCCATAGGGTTTCCAAGGAGCCGCTGGTGGATTCGAACTGCCGACCTTTTGGTTAGCAACAGAGCTTTTAACCACTGCACCACCAGGGCTCCGCTCTCACATGACAGGGACTCATAATGTTTGACACATAGATGAATAAAAAATGAACGGGTGGCAGAGAGGGCAAATGACAGAGGATCCCTGCACTTGTCTAGAGTGTGGTTCTCTGCAGCCCAGGTGAGAAGCCTCTGGGGCCATGGAAAGGAGCACCGGCCTCCATCCTTCCCCCCTCTCCTATCCTTTCCTTCCACTTCTTTTGTCGTTGCACGGCTCCTCCCCGAGTGGTGTGAGCTTGAGCTCCCTCTACTGGCCAGACTTCAGAACTGCAGGGAGCCAAGCCTAGGTATCCCTCACTTGTTTCATTCTTCCCCTCTGGAGAAACCTTTCTACCTCTACCCCTTCTCCAGGGTTCACGAGGGACTAGAGTGTGAAGAGAAAACAGTGCTGGATGTTTCCAGGCCTGATGCCAGGAACACTCCCCTCACACCCTTACCTCATGCTCAGCTTCCTGGGGTCTCCACTACCAGACTTCTTCTATCCAGCTAATTCACAGAGATGTTGATTTCTGGAGCCTTTGGCTGATACATCAGGTCTGACTGTGGACGAGTGATCCTAGGTGGAATGGGAAGAGAAGGACAGAAAGAGATAAGCAGAGAGGAAGGGACCAAGAGTGACAGAGATACAAACCCACAGAGAGACAAAGACATAGATAAGGTGAGAAAGATAGCCTACTAGGGCGTATCCCGAGCCCTTTTCCACCCCCATGGGCTCATAGTAAACCAGGACCCCAGCCCTATGAAGAAAGATTTCCCTCACCCCATCAGTCTGCCTGTGTCAATAGGGGGCTAACGGGGAGTGATTGTGTTGATCAGATCTATATAATACATTTGGACTTTGGGGCAGCTCCTGGACTACTCTGTGCCCAAAAGAGCTCTCCCGCCCCCTGAAAGAGCCCAGCCTGGCAGTCACATCCTCGCTGTCACTTCCACTGAATGAGCGCTCTGGCTCCAGCCCCTTCTTAGGGATGCTCCGCTCCTCCTCTGGCATCAGCTCATCCAGCCAAAGGAGTTCTTGTGGTGAGACGACCCACTCCAGGGCCTTTCGGACTCCTACTAGGCCCAACAACTGCAAGAATAGAAACAGCCCAGAGCTGTCAGCAACAGCAGCAGGAACATCAACAAGGGCTAAAGTTATTGAGAACTTTCTATGTGCTAGGCTTTGCGTTGTTTCATTGAATGCTATGAGTTAGATGCAATTATTATTTCCATTGTACAGAAAAGAAAACTGATGCCTAGAGAGATCAGTAACTTCCCAGAGGAAGCGTGTTGGTCCTACCGCAAAGCCCATGGCTCTTAACCTCCTCAGTGAGTAAGAAACTACCTGTGTTATCACCTCACTCAGTAACTAAGGTGTCAGCCTTGCCTCTCCCAAGGCTTCAGTTTCCTTCTGGACTTTATATCCCTACCTTGTGGTTGATCAGCCCAAAGAGGTTGGGATGAAGGTTAATCAGGTATCCCAGCTGTGGACATTCCTAGCCCATCTTTCTTTGTGCTAGGATTCCCAGCCAGGTAGAGCCAGGGCAAGTAAGAGAGGGGAGATAGATTTTTCCTTTTGTGAAGGCCTTGGCCACCCTTCCAGGATCAGAGTCTCCCAGGGCCCTTCAGGACACCCAGAGAGGTAGGACCCACCTCCCAATCCCACCCTAAATTACCACAAGGGGGAAGATGATGGCTGCAGGGGTAGACTTGATTGTCCAAAGCAGACCCAGGCAAGCAAGCTGGATGGCCGTGAAGAGGTGGATTCTGCCCAAACGCACATGCTGCAAGAACAGCAGATCTGGCTGGTGTTTTGCTGGCATCAACAATAGCTGCACCCTGTTGGTGAACTGGGAACAAGAGGAAGAGGCAAACAGAGCACTCAGGTAGACTGGAGGGTATCACTGTCAGCAATCCCAGCCCAGAAGGCTCCCATGGCCCCCTCCCCACCCAGAGGGTGGCAGCAGAGTCTCTGTGCCCAGGAGAGGCAGGAAAGACAAGGAAGAGGACTTGGGTTGCTAGGTGATTTTAGTGGGCTCACCTGGATGCTGCTAAGTGCTGCCACTCCCATGAAGAAGATACCATAGAGGACAGGCATTGGGATGAACTGGCAGGATGAAATGGAGAGGTGACAAAGGGGTTTGCCTCTGCCAGCTACCCAGATGCTCCACCTTAGGCACCAAGTCCATCCTTCTAGCATCTAGCATCTAAGCCTGTCCACACGTTTCCTTTCTTTTCCCACTTTGCATGCCTGATCTCATTGAATCCTTAGATCAATCAAATTAGGCAAATTCTACTATTGTCTTCATTTTACAGATGGCGAAATGGAATTTCAGAGACTAAGTAACTTGCCCATTTCCTGGCCTACCTCTCCAATCTTGTCTATCGCAGTCCCTTCTACCCTCTGTGCGCCTGCTATACTGGCCTCCTTTCGTACCCTCAGCATGCCCAGGCTGGTTCCTGCCTCTAAGAAAGCCTTTTGCTTTGCTATTCCCTCTGCCTAAAATGCTTTTCTCCCAGACCTTTGCATGATCTGTTCTTTCTCATTACTCATGCTTCATCTCACAACACCCAGAAAGTCCTTCTCTGACCACTCAATCTAAAGTAGACTCCCCCAGGCACTCTTAATCACTTTACCCTCCTTTATTTTTTATAGAAGCTATCACTGTCTGGAATTATGCTATTTTCTTGTTTTAATTATTTTTTTATCTGTCTGCTCTCACTGGACTGCAAGGATGGGGACATGGTCTCTTTTAATCACCACTATGTCACACTCGACTACTAGCTGAAGGCTTGGTAGTTCAAACGCACCCAGGGCACCTTGGAAGACAGGCCCGGCAATCTGCTTCCAAAAGGTCACATCCTTGAAAGCCCTATGGAGCAGTTCTGCTCTGCACACATGGGATCGCCGTGAGTCGGAATCGACTTGATGGCAACCAATAACAACAATATCCCCAGTACCTGGCACAGTGCTTGGCATATGGTTTAGGCTCAGTAAATATCTGCTGAATGAGAGTCACCTAGTTAGTAAGTGGCTGATCAGGTTCATCTGGCTCTTTCTACTCTCCACTCTTACCCAACCTCCGTGACCTTTTCCTCCCCTAACCTCTTGTCATCCTGCCAGTGACTTGTGTCTGACATTCTCCACATCCTCCTTGACTGCTTCGCTACCTCAACTTGTTGAACATTTCTGCTATTACTTGGTACTTAACTTTTGTCTCTGTGTGTGTGTGTGTGTGTGTGTATGTAGTGTTGCTGGCAGGGGCTTGGCTGCATATTCCTTTTCAGCACCCTCCTCTCCCCACCCCCTGCTTCTCCAAGGTGACTAGCAGAGTCTTGCACACAGCAGGTGTTCTATAAACATTTGGTTAAGAAGTGAGGAGTTTTTGCCTCAAAGTTTTTCTGGGATGTGATGTTCAGACTCTGAGTCTAAAGCTTGTTGGGAGGCTGAAGCAAGGCTAGTGCTTGGACTCTAGAGGGTGGTGGTGGTGGCCCTGCTCCACTGGGTGAAAAATCCACTGGATAAGAGTTGGGTCTTCAAATAGGTCTGATTTCAAAGACTCGTTCTCTTGATGGGCTCTAACAAGTTACTTAGCCTTCTTAACCTTCAGGTTCCTCATCTGTAAAGTATATGTGCCTGCCAGGGTTAGTGTGAGGAGTAAATGAGACCATGTACAGGAGAAAACTTAACAGAGTGCCTGGCATATAGCAAGTGCTCAACCAATGTCAGTTCTTGCTATATTTATAATTATCACTGCACTCACCCTGACCCCAGCCTGTCTAACAAAGGTACCTTGAGCACAGGTGCCAGGAAGATGGACACTTCTATGAGAATGAACACCACCAGGCCTGTCAGCCTCTGCTCCCTGTAGGGAGCACCCAGGCTGAAGACCCTGGCCAGACACCACTACAGATCCTGGCAACAGGAGGGAACTAGAGGGACCCTCCAGTAGTTTACAGGGAGAGGACCTCGGCTTGGTGTGAAAAATGAGAGGAGTGGGCAGGGCACTTAACATGGGAGTCCCAGGCCTCTCCATTGGCTGAGGCTCATGGTTGCTCTTGTTTTTATTTTGATGGGAAATTAGCAATGTTTACACTGCCGTAAAGACTCACATTTCACAGTTTTCAAACTTGATTTCACATGCTTTAGACAGTGAGATTGTATTTCTAATGGTTACAAAATTGTGTAACGGACTACATTGTATCATCAGTGATGCGCTTCCACATTGAGGGGATTATTAGGTGGCACCTATCCTCGACCTCAGCCCTGGCTGCCTCCACCCTTAGAGTGACAATGCCCCTTTTGAGGCATCTCCCCTGCCCGCATAGCCACACCTGGAAAGGAGAAGAGGGGAAGATCTGGCTCAGCCATCTCAGAGCCCAGAAGCCACCCATTCATCCCAATGCCATGCTCTTGGGCAGTGAGGGAGGCCTCTGGAGTCACCAGCTTAAGAATTTAAGCTGCCAAAATAACTGCCTTGTACCCTGCTACCCCACCTTGCTGCCTACCTCTCACTCCAGCCTCCTGAATACCAGCCTCACCTGATGCCCAGGAAGCGGGGGTACTCCCCGGGGGGCACAGGATCTGCTCTCTCTCTCTGAAGACTGTCCATGTGGGCCAAGGGGATGACAATGGCTGAGACATACCAAGGCAACCCAAGTGCTGAGGTGAGGAGTATCAACATAGCCACACAGAAGAAGTCCAGGTGGAAGCCAGCCCCCTTCTGCAGGTAGTGATGGAGGCAATGAGGATGAAGCTAGCTCAGGCCTGGGCCTTCTGTCCACTGGGGTGGGAGAGGGGGAGCCAGGACTCCACCCTTGAGCTTCTGGCCCTTGGCCTAAGAGTCTAGGTCCTCACTTGGCAGGACTTACCTGCAGTTTATACTCCATGCGGTTGAGGATGACCGCTGCAATCTGCTGGTCCATGAAGATGAGGATAGACAACAGCAGGGCAGGTGGGGCCGCTGCGCTGCTGCGCTCAGACACCAGGGGTTAGCTCCAAAGAGTGACACCAGCCAGTTACGCCCAGAAAGGGTGGGCTAGGGAGAGCAGTCCATGGACCGGTTGGAGAGGGTCTCCCAAAAGTGCCTCCTCACCCGCACTCTCCAGCCCTGGCATTCTCCTACAAACCCACCCCTCCCAAGACATGATACTAGATTGTAACTGTGTGTGTGTGTGTGTGTGTGTGTGTGTGTGTGTGTGTGTGCCTTTACACGCATGATTAAAAATATCCCAGTGCCCTAAAAGAAGGCAGAAGGAAGAAGACTAGCCTGGGGGCTGGGCTGGAGCTGGGGGCTCTGGATTTTGGTTCTCAAGATCCCATCCTCTGTTGAAAATGACAATGAGGAGGAGGAAGAGGCCTGCCGACAATTCTTGGCATACAGAGACCTCCTCCCTAGGCACCACCTCCCCCATCCAGGGTGGGGCAACTCAGGCTCAGACCTGCCTTGGTCTGGGGCAGGCTCAGGGGCAGGGCTGGGTGTGTCTGCATCTGCTCTGATTATAAGTGTCTGTGTGGGGGTGGGGGCCCAGTTGCTGCCTCTGGTTCTGAGTCCCTGAGGCTTCCCCGCTGCTCTCCTGTCCTGGGGGAAGTTGGAGGAGAGGAAAGTCTGGCAGTCAGTGCTACACCTTGTACTGCGCACAGTCTGCCCAGGGAGAGAGCTCCAGCCACAGCTTCACATGGTCAGAGTAGGTAATGAGGGTACCAAGAACAGAGTGGGGAGTAGTGGAGTGGGCAGGGCCACGCCAAGGGTAGGGAGATCCCATAACAATAGCTGACATTTATTGAGGACTTGGTATATACCAGGTACTGTGATAAGTGCTTTACACTATGATCTTCTGCAAACCCCAAAACAACCTGTGGGGTAGGCACTATTGTTTATTATTATTTCCATTTTATAGATGAAGAAATTGAGGCTCAGAAATATGGATTAACTTGTCTAAGATTACACAGCTAGGAAGTGGCAGAGATGGAACTCAAACCCAGAGCCAACTGATTAGACTCATGCTCTTAATCACTTACTTATTATAGTTAGCATGTATTCTGTGCTCACCATGTTTCTGGCACAGCACCTCACTAAATCCTCACAACACCTCTGTGAGGCCAACACTATTATTATTCCTGTCTTATAAGTGAGGAAACTGAAACTTATAAAAGGGGGATGGGATCGATGCATTTTCCTCCTCAAGCGTTCTGTCTGCTGGCCCTACCTTCCCCTCTGCCCTCCCACCCCCCAACTTCTGGATCTCACCTTGAACTCTCTGGGCACCATGAGCTTCAGTGTGGCTAGGCCCAGGAAGGCATCAAGGCCACAGCCCAAGAGGATGGCCAAAACTGAGTTGAAGTCACCGAGCACCTTGCATAGCTGGCCACACAATGGACACTCATCCAGAGTTAAGCCCACCATCCCCTTCCCTCTACACCTTTCCCATTTCCAGGGAGTGCCCAAAGCCATAAGCCAGGCCTCTCCCACAGAAACAGAGGGGACACTCACCACAGAGGGGAAGAAGTGACTGGTCTTGATATCCTTGAGGGCCATGGCAAAGAGGAAAGAGGTGAGGAAGAGGAGGAAGGAGAAGAAGGCAATGTCTGGGACTGTATGACAGCCAGGGCCACGAGGGTGGCCTCCCTGCTGGGCACACTCAGATGGGGGCAGCAATGACACACTGACCAGGCCTAGGTCCTGTATGGAGGGGTGGTCAGGGATGGTGGTCATGGCAGTGGAATGAACATCCTGCTCTCCTGGGCCCACCTCATGGGGGAGAGGGACCCACTAAGATGCCAGGAGTCCAGGGTGGGAGGTCTCCAGCCATAGGAAATGGCTGAGCCTATGAGGGGTTCCCAAGCCTCTAGGCTGGGAAGATCCAGGAACCACTGAATTCTTTGTCCTCCACCCTTCTCAGACTCTCACCATGCTTAAGATGTTATCGGTGTCTTTTAACCTTGTCTTTGTCCATTGAGACTCATTTCCTGGAAGTAGAGAAGAATTCAGGTATGTGTCCCTTGCGCTTGGAACCTTCTCTAGCTCCACAGGAGCCTAATCTGAGAGGACAGCTGAATCAGAGAACCAGAGGGTTCTTGGCTCTGACTCATCTATCTGCTTGCTGACTCTATTGCTACCAAGTCTATGCTCCTCAGGACATTCCCTTGTGCCCCCGTTCCTCAAATTCTCTACCTATCTGTATCCCTGGTGCCTAGCAAGGACATGGCAGACTAGATGCTCAGCGAATGTTTGATGAATGGATGTGTACACTGACTTGTAAGATTTACAAATTTCTGTGTTTCCTCCAGGGCCGGAACTGATCTTGTTCATGCTTAACACAGGGTCTGGCACGTGTTAGAGGGAACACTTCTTCCTTAGTCTCAGTTCTGTTGTTTCAAGTGTAATACTTCAAGCCTCTCTGGGAGAAGGAGCTAGTGTGCCTGGCCGAGACCCTTCCTCTCCCCTCTCTTGGGAGTAAGCTGCCTGCATGGTGCATTTAGCTCTGCTTCCTTGAGGCAAGACTGTCTCCGCCCAATGCTGCCATGACTGGGTGTTGTTGTATGCCGTCGAATTGATTCCGATTCACAGTGACCCTATAGGACAGAGCAGAACTGCCCCACAGGGTTTCCTAGGCTCTAATCTTTACAGAAGCAGACTGCCACATCTTTTTCCCATGAGGGGCTAATGGCTTGAAACCACAGACCTTTCAGTTAGCAGCCGAGCACTTAACCATTGCACCATCAGGGCTCCTGACTGGGTGGGTAAGTCTATCTAATTTTGGTTTCATCATTAGGAAGCCCATTCACCCACTGATATATATAACTCATGTTCTTCTACAGTGTTGTCAGTAATAAAGAAGATATTGGGTCTCCATCTGCCTACTCTACTTTCTTAGTTCTCAACTGAGTCAAAATCTGAGTGGAAAAGAGTGCTGCTGGTTATTGGGTTTCCTCAAAGACCTCAACAGCCTTGAGTAAGTACTCAACATTTTGCTGAATGTAACTAGGAATGGAGAGTGAGGGGATGACCCTTCCCCCTCCTGCACATTCTCCCACCTGGCCAATCTCTCTCACCCACCTCCTAGGCCTGGGAACTCGCAGAGGCAGCCGTAGGCAATGGACCCTGCTAGGCCAGGGCCAGGTCTTTGGATAGGATAGGCATGGGCCAAGCCCAGCATTTTGCCCACGGCATCATAGATGAAGATGAGGCTGATGAGGGCACAGAAGCCTTCCCTGGTGAAGCGGGTGAAGTAGTGCTCCAGCACACTGGCCTCTGTGGCCACCAGCACCAGGCAAAAGGTGGTCACCCAGATACCCACCCACAGGCGGAAGGGCAGGTAGTCCAAGCTGTAATCTCTGGTGGGTGGGAGATAGGTAAGGCTCAGCAGGGCTGTTCTGCTCCCCACCTATCCCAGGTTAGGTGCCCCTCAAGCCAAACGAACAGCTCCCACCCTCCCCTATTGACCCAGCTAGGACCAGGTGAGGGTGTAACTAGTGAGGGGCTGGTGAGGTGGGGGAAGCACCCCCCACCTGCTGAAGAAGAGCAGGCGCTCAGAGACCAACACTGGCCCAGTGCTGCTGAGGATGGTGAGGGGCTGGCCCGCCATCAGGCAGAAGGCAGCTCCAGCCACCGCAGTACCTAGGAAACTTTCCAGCACCCCCTGGAAGCCGACAGGGGCTCGGCACAGCACCCTGGGCAGGGAGCCCAAGCTTCTGGGGGCCCTCCCCAACCCACCCATAGTTCCATGGAAGGGCGAGGGCTGGATGCCAAAGCTTGCAACCCACAGGTAGCTCCACCCACCTGGGCACTGTCGGTGGCTTCTCCCAGCAGCCCCCCAAAAGTGACGGCGTTCGTGACCGTGGCCAGGTAAATGTAGAGCACGGCCGAGAAGCGCTGGAGGTGCAGGGCGTCGGAGAAATTGCTGAGGTACCACGAGGCCTTCCGGCGCACGTCCTGTACAAGACCCCCAAACAGCCTCCCGCCGGTGGGTCGTCAGTGATCCAGGTTCCCACGCCCCCATCTACTTTCCCTGTACCCAGGTGAGCCCCTCCCACAGTAAGCACCAACTTGTGAGCCACTGTGACTCCTCCCCCAACCCAGGGGCCCAATCCTTGGTCTCACTCCAGCTCGCCTCACCTGTCCGTCCGCTGTAACTCCGGATTGGGCACTTGCGGCCCCTGGCTGCACCTGTCCTCAGCCGGGGCCCCGTGCCGAGCGGAGGAGTCCTTGACCTCCAGCAATTTTGAGAGGGTCTGAGTAGAAGGAAAAACCCAAGTTAGCTTAGAGTTTCAAACGAGTCCGCGACTGGTCGCCGGAGTTCATGACGCCCTGCCTCCTGGTGGCTACTCGTGTCTCTGCCGGCGAGGGCCTTCGCTCATGTCCCAGGAGAAGCAGCCTCCCATCAAGCAGGTCCGAGTCATACTGTGCCCTTTTTACAGACGAGAAAGCCAGGCTTGGAGGGGGGGAGGCACTCTTTCAAGATCTCACAGCGACAGAGACTCAAAGTGAGGTCGGCCTGACTCTGGATCGAAAGGTCCCTATCCCTTTCCTGAGACCCCAACCCCTCCCCAACAGTAGAACTAGACCCAAGACCTGTAGGGAAGGATCTGTATGGAATGATGGCCCCTGGGTACCTTTTATGCTGAGAGGGCAGACATTTGGGTGGGGGAATCCGGGCTGTCGGATCCCGCCGACCTGGGGGGAGCACTGTCACCTCCTCTAGGAAGGCATCCAGAGCTGCCAGAAGGTCTTGGAGGTTGCTGGCCTGATGAGCTGACACACTGGAATTGCTGGGGAAAGGGGCACAGAACAGGCATAAGTGTAGATCTGGAGCCTTACGTGTACTTTCTCAGTCTCTAGACTAGACACACACAAGTCACATAGGCAGACAAGTCACTCAAGCATTCATTCATGCTTGCCTTCATTCACTCATTCATTCGGTGAGTCTCTATTGAGGTCTACTGTGTGCCAGCAATCTGCGGAGGTGATGGGACCAAGGAAATTTCAGTCCTCAACCTTACATACACAAAGCCACAACCTGCCTCCTTGCTGTATTCAGTCACCCAGACAGAGGGCGACATACCTCCTCACTCACACAAGCTTATGCACACACACATGCCTGCCCAGCTCACTGGGTCACTGAGGACTACGGCTGCCAGGCCCAACTCATGGTAGCCCCTTCCCAGCATTGGGGGGCCGAGCAGGAGGCAGAAAAACCTGAGGAGGGAACCAGGCCCCAGAGAGGGTCAGAAGCTGCTTTCCTACAAGGCAGCCCTGATCTCCAAGGCTCAGCTCTGACCCTCTGGTCCAGCCCCCATACACACACTCACTTGCACACCTACTTTTCAGCCTAGACCACTGCCCGCTCGACAGACCCCTGAGCACCATTCCCCACAACCCCTAGAGAATTAGACCCAGAGACCCACAGTCCCCTCCTCAGTAAAGGCCCTTCTTTTGGTCTCCAGGCTACCTGCCCTCCACTCAGCAGCCTCACATGCTGGGGAGGGGCACCTCAGTAAGGGGCCCCAGCACCACTGGATCCCGCAGCCGCACAAAGGCCCCCAGCGGCTGTGACAGGAAGCCCAGCTCTCCAGCCAGCAAAGCCCCTGCCTCGGCCCCTGGAGGCAGCTTCTGTCTCAGGGGGTTCTGACACTAGGTGGAGGTTCAGGTAGACACAGATGATGAGAGATTATTTGGGGAGGAGGACATTGGCAGGATCTTGGCTGATGAGAAGTCAAATGGAGGGCAGGCCTCTGTTAATCCCTGACCCCCTCTCCCAGCTGTGCCCAAGGATGGAACACAAACCTGTTCTTTCTCATCATGAGAAGCCTCTCTTTGGTGGTCAGACCCTACAAGACAGGATTATTCAGTGATTAGTTAAGAGCACAAGCTTTAGGGGTGGATCCCCCAGGGCTCCCTGACCAGCTTTGCCATGAATAAACTGTGTGACCTTGGACATACCCTTCTTCTCTCTGGGTCTCAGTTTTCTCATCACTAAAATGGGCAGTTGTGTAGATTGAATGAGATACTGTGTGTAAAGCTCCTGGCACAGTGCCTAGCCAAGTATGTCCCTTCACAGAGCCATGACTGTTAGAATTCCAGCCCCTCCATTCTTCTTCCACCACCATTATCCCTGGTTTTCCCTTGCACATGAGTCCTGGGCTGAGGTCTGAGAGAGGCTAGGTCACTCCTGGTCTAGGAAGGTGCAGGGGAGATCTGGGTCCCTTCCACTCCAGGGAGGGGTCTCTCACCCCGCCAGGGCCTGGTGCCTGTGGTCTGGATGTGGTGCTGGGGTCTCTGCAGCAGCAAAGCCTGCAGCTGCCCTCTCAGCTCTGGGCTCAGAGACTCCACTCTGGTCACCTGCTCTGAGGAAAAAATATGAGACTCAAATACCTTTCTGAGGGCTCCCTGTCCCTGCAATTCTCCCTTCCCTCTCTGCCCCAGGTCCCTTTCCCTCTGGGAGTCCCAGGGAACTCAGGAGCCAGTGAACTGCCTCCTCCACTCAGCTTTTTCATCTCCACCCTGTGACAGAGATGGTCAATCCAAAGAGTGGGACAGAGTGGGCTCTAGAAGAGTCCAAGACTTTGGGGGAAGTCCTGGGGAAATGGCATAGCTGCCCAGGCCCTCCCTGCAAAGGTTTCCTTCGTACCTATGAGTTCCAGGAGGCTCTGAGCTGGACAATCCAGCAGTATAAGGCCCTCGGCCAGCAGGCTGTGGAGAATTTGGAGGGTAGGCAGTGCCAGGGTGGGCACATGGGGAGCACTCTACTGGCCCTCACCCATCTCCAGCTTCTCCTCAAACAGTACCCACCTGTAGGGGAAGAGGGTGGACAGTGTTATTGGGGGCATCTCTCCCAGGTCCAGGAGCAGGGATACTGGGAAGCCAGTGAAGGTAGGGCAATGAGAGAGTCCTGGGCCCAGTGGTGCAGACTATGCCCCTCCCTGAGTAGTCACCCCTCATTTGGGTCTTGGGAAACTCAAAACTAGATTGCAGAGAAGGCTGGGCATCATGAATGGTGAGGCCCTGAAATAAGAGAACACGGAGAGAAGTCCTGCATGGGGGTGGAAGGAGCCCCACAAGAGGAACTGGGAATCATGAAGGAGCCACCGCTGGGGAAGGAGAAGAACCCCATAAAGCTGGCCTGGATCTCACTCACCTGCCTGTCTCCCTCCACGCCAGAGCCTGGGGCCAGCCCAGCAGTTCATTCAGCTGAATGAAGAGCAGAGGGTCCTTGGGTACCCCCAGTTCCCTGCTGCTTGTGTCTGAGGGGTCATCAGGGCTGGGGCCAGTGCCAAGGCTGCTATCCAGCTGCCCTGCAGGGACATTTTCAGAAGCACTGGGGCCTTCAAACTCCTCCTGGCCTGGCACCTTCATCTTGGTGAGGCTTGTACAGGATCTTGGGACTGAGGTAGTCCTGGGTTCTGAAGCCAGAGGCTGTCTGGTTGGCTGAATTTATCATACACCTCTCACTGAAGAACAACAAAACAGCAAGGCCTGCTTACTCCAGTGCAGACCAGGTCACTCCTTCTCCTGCCTGCCACCCCCTCACCCCTGCCTGAGTGTGTTTGTAAGGCCAACCTGGCCTTTCCCAGGCTCTCCAGAAATGCCCAACCTGGGGCCAAGGTGTGTGTGCATATTTCATATGGGATCAGGTCTGACCCCACTGTGTTGTGTGTAAACAGGAGTAAGTGGCTGGCCTGGGTCTGAAGGCCAATACCCCCGGATTATACTGTCCCCTACCCTGTATCATATACAAACAACAAACACCCAGGACTGTTTTGGGTGTCACCAACACAGCCTGGAGGTCACAGTCACATCCATTTGGACAAACAGGGACCCAGTAAATAACTAGTTCTGTGGAAGCCAAGCAGGGTAAGGGAGGCAGCAGAGAGAGGCCCTGCCCATTCAATGATGGAAAGTGAAGGCAGCTCATGGCAGACACAATGCCTGAGTCTTAAATTCCCATGTCATGATAATTCCCCAATAAAGCTGTGTCCCTGGGGTCTGCTCCTCTAACTCAGCCCCCCAATGAGGATGGAGGAGACACCTACAGGTTGAGTGTGAAGGATTCCTGAGATAAATGAGCAAAGGGGAATTTGGTCGATTAGCAGGTCCTGTTGGCTCTACCTTCAAAATATACTGAGAATCCAACCATATCTCCCCACTTCTGGCACTACTACCCTGACCTAAATCACCATCATTTCTCACCTGAATTATTTCAATAACCTTCTAGTCTCGTGCAATAATCTCCCTGCTTCCACAGCCAAAGGTGTCCTTTTAAAAGGTACTCAGCCACATTAGTCTTCTGCTTAAAACTCACTAAACACATTCCCATTACTCCTAGAAGAGGGTCCCTAGGTGATGCAAATGATTTGCGCTTGATTGCTAATCTAAAGGCTGGTGGTTCAAACCTACCCAGCTGTACCATGGAAGAAAGGTCTGGCTATCTGCCTCCATTAAGATTACAGCCAATCCGTCTGGGGTCTTAAAAGCTTGCAAGCGACCAACCATCTAAGCTGCGCAATTGGTCCTAACCACCTGGAGTAAAGGAGAATGAGAAACACTAAAGACACAAGGAAAGTAGTAGCCCAAGAGACAGAAAGGGCCACATAAACCAGAGACTTCATCAGCCTGAG